GGTGTAAGGTGATACCTCATTGTGGTTTTAATTTGCATCTCTCTGATGATCAGCGACACTGAGCATTTTCTCATGTGTCTCTTGGCCATCCGTATGTCCTCTTTGGAGAAGTGTCTATTTAAGTCCTTTGCCCATTTCTTAATTGGGTTGTTTGTCTTCCTCTTGCTGAGTACTATGAGTTCTTTGTACACTTTGGAAATTAGCTCCTTATCAGATGCATCCTTGGCAAATACGTTTTCCCCGACCGTGGGGTTCCTTTGTATTTTGAGGCTGTTTTCTTTTGCTGTGCAGAAGCTTTTTAGTTTGATGTAGTCCCATATGTTCATTTTTTCTATGTCATTTTTTTTAATTCGACAATCTAAGGGAGAAGAGGTCTGTGCCCCTAACTAAACAGCCAGGTGTTGCACATTTTAAAAATTCTCGCAGCACACAATTGAACATCGCTGCTCTGAAGTGCTATGTGTTTTCTCTGCTGTGCCCCGCATTGCTTCTGGGCCCTGGCTAGCAGAGCTGCTGCTGGGAAAAGCGTGTGTCTCTTGCCCCTGCTGGCTGTGCCGCGTAAGAGTGGGCCCAGAGCTGGGACAGCTCCTGACCAAGCCATAGAGTCCTGGCAGCCTGTGCTGAGCTTGTCCCCCCTTGCGTCCTGCCATGTGCTGGTTCCTGGAACAGGCCGCTGTCCTTACCTGGCAGCATTCATGTGCTGGTACCCTGAGTACTCAATCCCACCCCCTGTACCCCATATAATTTTTTGGCACTTGCCAAGCGGCTCAGGGAGCCATTTCATGTTGCAGCCGCCCAGGACATGCCTCGCATGCAAGTTCCCCTCAATAAACTCCATTAATTACCAGATTGGAGTGGCCAGCCCCTTTCTTCGGTCTTTCCCTGTATTCTGCTTATGGAGGTGGCTTTCCAGTCTCAGGGCCTTACCATGGTGCGTACAAACATCCTCCCTGCGACCACCCTTTGTAGAGTAAACCCACTCACGCCTGACATTCTCTAACACTTTATCCTGGGTACTATCTGAAGTAATCTTGAGTATTTGTTTACTTGTGGTTTTGACTGTTAGATCCATTATATCCACTCAAAAGTAGGTGCTCAAAAATATTGGTTGAATGAATGAATGTCCTTGATTTATGATGTTCCCTCCCCCACTACCCTCCAAGGCACCCTATTTTCCGTTTCTATACAAATCTCACCCATTCTTGGAGCCTCAGCTCAGTTTGTTTGTTCGCCTTTTCGTTGAAGGCCACTCGAGTTCACGCTCATTCATTCAACATTTATTAAGTGCCAACTTAACACGCGCCAGGCACTGATCTAAACACTATAAACACATCATTCATTTCTTATAACCAACCATGTGAGACATTTATTATTACTCCCATTTAACAGAAGAGGAAACTGAGGTACAGAAAAGCCAGAAGGTACAGGAGAGTTCCAGCCAAGTTGCACAATTACTAAGGGGCAGAACCAAGGCTGACCCCCAAGGAGCAGACCTCCAGAGTCATGGACTCCACAGCCTTCCTGCGAATGAGGTGTTGTAGGCAACAGGAGCTGAATTAATAACGTCACCGTCCCTTCTGACATTCTGGCCTTACTAGCTCCTCAGAGTTGAGAGCTCCTGTCTTTGGCTGTTTTTTGTGGCCCCTCCACACTGCAGTTCCCTGCTGCAGAAGGTCAAGGTTCGTTCAACCCCAGCATTGTGCTATTTAATTCATCTGTGCCCTCAACACTCTTGTAAGTTATTTAATTCATCATTCTACCCCCACAAAAGCTGTTCCTAATCCCATTTCTGTCCCGCCCGGTCCCAAGCCTTTGCCCTCTAATACCAGATTTTCTGTTCATCAGGTGTTCCCTCCACTTCCCTTTCCCATGCTTCAAAGTTTTCTCCACCTTCTTGCACACCCCCTCCTCACGCACACAGGTCTCTGCAAAACCCCTAGCTCTGCTGTATTTGTGGGGGGCCCTCCCTCCTCCCTCCTTCTCTCCCTGTCTCACCTTTAGGACACCTCGGTGTTCACCATGCACCTAAGATATGCAGAGGTTTCTCCAACCTCAAATTTAAAAACTCACAACTTTGCAACCGCTTTGTTTCTCATTTCTCCCCTTCTTTCAGAAGATATTGCCCGAGTGCCTCTCCATGCCTGCTCCAGGCAGTGGGGATTCTGGGATAAACAAAACTGGCCAAACCCTCCTCAAGGGGCTGACACTCCGGTGCAGCCAAACTGCTTGAAGCAGCAGGGGAATGCCCCTCCCCCCCTTCACCTGCTCGCAGAAATGAAGCACATCTTGGTGAAAAATGATCACATTTGTTTTATTGAGTATACAATTCCATTGTCCTCTAACTATAATTTAGGATTAATAATCCCTGACTTGGTTAAGGTCTCCATAGGGACCTGCTTCCCACCTTCCTGGACATCATTACTTGTGACCTCACACTTTCCAAGGGTGGTGATCCTGGAGATGAGTCTTACGAGAGGATGAGTTCTGCTCTGAACGCATGCCCGTGGCCCCCAGGAGACCCGAGGGATTGGAGAAAGGTTTGTTTCTCTGGCCAAATTTGATTCCTTCTATCTCACAACCATAGCAATGCTTTTTGTTTGTAAGAGCTGGTGTTACGGGGCCACACAATGGCTGACCCAGCCATGGCTGAGGGACAGCTGCTCACTGTGACTCAGGCCTGGGGATGGGTGAGCCTGGAGAGACAGCCTGGCTTTAGGAACTGCACGGAAGCCCTTTGGGCAGTCCCTGCGGGGCCTGCATTCCACCCGGGACTTGTCCTAGTTCTGGATAGTGATAGTCAGGGAAAAACCCCATGAAGGGAGCTCCACACAGACCTGCTCCACAGGCTCCTCCCCCTGAGCTAGCGCTCCAGAATGGGGGGCGGCAGTTCCTTCAGTTCCTCCTTCTCTGGGTGCACCTCTGACACCTTGTTCATCTTGGCGAAACTCTGATTGATCTCCATGAACGTCTTGCCCTTGGTCTCGGGGACAACCAGGGATATGTAGATGGTGGTGAGGAGACATATCACAGCAAAGATGATGAAGCTGTAGGCTTCGAGGCCCTCCTGCGGGAAGGGGAGCCAGGTTCACGTTGTTGAAGAGGTTTTCCCTTTCCTGCTTGAGGATGTTGCGAATCCAGGGCCCCCCCAGGGTCACACTTACTTGAATGAAGGGGAAGAGCAAGCCCACGGCGAAGTTGGAGAGCCAGTGGACGCTGCCCCCCACCATGAAGGCAGACGAGCGGGAGGACTGCAGGAAGATCTCGGTGATCAGCAGCGAGGGGATGGGGCCTGGGGGAGGGAGAGGAAGGGCTGTACTCGCCGAAGGCAGGGCCGGGCCCCCGGGGCCTGGACCCCTGCTGCGTGCAGGGCGCCTCAGCCAGGTGTGCAAGGTGGGAGCGGCGAGTCTCCGGGATTCCAGGTCCCATGCTATGATGTCCCTAAAGGGGCCCGTGACCACCTGTAAGGCGCTCAGTGCCNGGGTCCCAAGCTATGATGTCCCTAAAGGGGCCCGTGACCACCTGTAAGGCGCTCAGTGCCAACCACACGGGGCAGCGCGCTCCAGCCGACACGGCCGCGCCTGTTGTCGCTCTAACTGTGCTCTGCCCACGCCCGCCTGCAACAGGGAGACGGGCGTCCCCGGGGCCCCTCCAGGGAGCTCAGGCCGGAGTTTCTACGGCCGATGGTGCGGGAGGGGTACCATGGAAGCACAGGACCAGCTCGGGTACGTACTGGGCCCCAGGGCGTGTCCTACAACGTAGAGGATGACACAGGTGATGCTGAGGTAAGGCATCCAGGTTACTGTATTCTGTGGGGACAAAAGAGAGTTGGGTCACACCCGGCAAAGCACAGACAACCCGGGACAGGGAATGCCGGGCATCTCGGTTCCCAGGGGCCAGCTGCTCCGCCTGGGTTGGGGAAGGATGGCACCCGGCTCCTCTTTCAACAGGCAGTGCCGCTGTTGCCACTGGGAGGCGGGCGGGAGGCGGGCAGTGGGCCGCGGGGGTGGGCGCGGGCCGCACACCGTCCACCCCGGCTCCACCCCCCTCACCTGCAGAACCAGGGCGGCCGTGAGCACGCAGCAGGCGGAGAAGCAGACGGAGAAGCCCAGGAGCAGCAGGACCCTCCTCCCCAAGAGCTCCACCACGAACACCTGGAGGGGAGGGGAGGGGAGGGCCCGGAGGAGCAGGGAGGCTCAGAGCCCGAGCCCCACCGGACACCCCCGCCCGAGCCGCCTTCGCCGGAAGCTCCTCGCCCGCCCCGCGCACCCCCTTCCGAAGGGCGGCTGCGAGGACAGCCCACGTGTTGTGTGCCCCCAAGGGTGTCCCCCGAATGGCCAGCGGCCACAGCACTGCTCAGTCCAGGGGTCCCATTTGCCCTTGTCGTGTGCCCTGGCACAGGCATTGGCCTCTGAGAAGCAGGAGCACCAGCTCACGCAGTGGAAGCTCTGGGCCTGGGGGCAGAGCCACCTCCATCTTCGAAGAGCCATAGGCCACCTCCCATAGGGGACAGGCTGTCATCTGAGCAGGGCCCAGAGGCTACATGCGAAGGGACCGAGGGTCATCTTGCCGCCTTAGATCTGGCTCCTTCCTCGGCCAGGATCCCCATTCTCGAGGTGCCCCCCATCCTTGGCAGCTCCCCGGGACACTCACGGCCACCATGGTTATCACCACGTTGACAGCCCCCGTGCCGGCCGTCACATACTGGACGTCGTTCTCGCCCACGCCGGCGCTCCGGTAGATCTGGTCCGCGTAGTAGTAGATCTGGGAGACACCCCAGAGGCTGCTGGGCCTGCAGGCCACGGCCTGGCCCCCGCCCGCGCCGCCCCCGTCCCGGGCTGCCCCCTACCGCGTTCACCCCCGACAGCTGCTGGCCGCCCATGAGGACGATGATGGAGATGAGCTGCCACCGCAGGGACCTCATCTTGAACAGCTTCACCACGGAGATGAAGCCCGCGGCCTTCTCGGCCTCGGCCTCCTGCTGGATCTCCTCCATTTCAGCATCCACGCTGTCCCAGCCACGCAGCCTCTTCAAGGCTAAGGGAGGGGGCCCAGGCGTCGGAGGGTGGGCCACAGCCGCGGCCCAGGCCCTTCTGCTCCTCCCACAGGAGAGCCTCACCTTTCCTGGCAGCTTCGGGGTCTTTCTTCTGAACCAGCAGGTACCTGGGGCTCTCAGGACAGAAGGGCAGCACCAGGAGCTGCAGGCCTGCCGGGATCCCGGTCACCCCCAGGAGGATCGGCCAGCCTGCAAGGAGCCAGCGTCTCCCATGAGAGGCCCCCCAGCCAAGAATCCTGCCTCTCGCCGCCTCCACCCCCACAGCACCCAGCTGGCCACTCTGGCCCATCACCCTGATTGGTTTTCTTCAGAGCTGGAACACAGGCTCTGCAGGGGCAGGGCCATTGTCATTCTCATCCCGTGTCCCCAGCACCTAGAATGGAGCTTAACAAACATTCTGCAAATACTTACAAAATGGGCAGTGATGAACCACCTACCAGGTGGACAAAATGAAAAATTCTGACCACCAAGTAGTACTGGCGAAAATGTGGGCAAATGGGAAGCAGCCACACTGTCATTGTGTGGACATGTGGCGTCTTTAGAGGACAGGTCGGCAGGAGTTGGTGATGCTGGACACCCTCCCAAGCTCTGACCCAGCAGTCTTGCTCAGGTGTATGCCTGGGCCACCAGGGCATGCAAGCTGGAATGGTCAGGGCAGCCCTGGTTAAGGAAGAAACCCAAGAGCAGTGCCAATGTCCACAGTGCTAGAATGGACACATAAACCATGGCGTGGCTTGAAAAGCAAGGCTTGAAGGCGCCCAGCAAGGTGCCCATCTCGCCAATGCCATGCTGGGCATAATCATCTACCTGGTAGGCCCCACTGTAGGAAGTCCAGAAATGGAAAATAATCTTGGCAAAAGGTGGCGAAACTATAGGGCAAAGCAAAGATGAGATGGTCATTAATATTGACTCAGGCCTGGCCGGTGTGGCTCAGAAGTTGAGCATCGACCTAAAATTCAGGAGATCACGGTTCGATTCCCGGTCAGGGCACATGCCCAGGTTAAGGGCTCAGTCCCCAGTAGGGGACGTGCAGGAGGCAGCCAATCAATGACTCTCATCATTGATGTTTCTCTCTCTCTCTCTCCCCCTTCCTGTCCCTGAAATCAATTTTTAAAAAAAGTTTTTTTTAATCCACTCAGTGCTTCTTTTGGGGTGGGAAGGCCATGACTGAGGGGCACACAGCAGGCTTCTGGGGGACTGGCACAGTTCCAGTTCCTGACCTGGGTGGGGGTCACACGGTGTTTGATGTCTATTTGACTAAATGTACACTTATGCATTACGCGTTCTTTCTACGCAGGCTTCATCTCACAGTAAAAACGGTTCAGTGAGTGAGTGAGGAGTTCGGGCTCCTAAGAGCTGTTAACGCCCCGGCTCACCCCCTCGTCTACTCGGGCTTGCAGCCAGCGATGACCGCACACAGGTGTGTGCTGCGTGCGCGTTTACGGGCTCTTCATGTGTTAACCCACTTCTCCACCCCAGCAATGTCAGGAGGCAGGTACAGGACCAACCCCATTTTGCACATGGAAAAGCTGAGAGGCCTGAAGGTGCAGGTCTCTTGCCCAAGATCAGTTATTTAGGAACAAAACTGAGATTTGAACCCAGGCACGTGGAACCCTGGGCTACTCTGAGCCATGTGCTGAAAGACTTTCTGTCAAACTTAAGGTGATGACCACCTGATGACCAGTGATTTACCACTGGCCTAGAGTCAGGGTCCGGGGGGCCCTGTGACTCCCCAGCTCACCCACAGGGGCCAGGCCAGTGGTGCTCTTTCCCGGTCTTTGGCATGGGATAACACACGGACCCCCGGCAGTGGCGCTGCTGAGAGACTCAAGGGAAGTGGAGCCTGGAAGTCGCATGCACAGAGCCCGGTGTGCTGGTGGCCGTCACCACCATACCTAGGCCCTCATATGGACAGCCACCACCAGGCCAAGAGAAAGCCAGATAGCGGCGCTTCCTGCTCACTCAAAGCCACCTCCCCCATGTCCTAAGAGGGACTAGAAACTGTCAGCCAATCCGTCACCACCAATGTGTGGGGTCAGGGCAGGGTTGGGGTCCAGAGGGACAGCCAGCTGATTAGAGAGAAAAGACCAGCTCACAGAACGTCCAGCTGAGCAGAGGGAGGGTTGGGGGCCCTGAGGCGTTGGGCTTACCTTCCTTGGTTGCAAGGACATTCCGAAGGCCGAAGATCTGGGCCACGAGGATGCCGACAGTGATGAAGAGCTGGGGCACCACCCCCAGGGCCCCCCTCAGGTTCTTAGGGGCCAGCTCCCCTAAGTACATAGGGACAACATTGGAAGACAGACCTGGGAGGAAGTGGAAACAGAAACATGATCAGGAAACATCAGTGTGGCAGGGACAGGCTGTGTCTTCAACTGCATTTATACTTATTCGGCAATCACATTAGCTCGGCCGAAACTTTCTCAAAACTGCCGAAATGCCCTGGCCGGGTGGCTCAGTGGGTTGGAGCATCGCCCCATACACCAAACGGTTGCAGGCTTAATTCCCGGTCAGGGCACTTCCCCAGGTTCCAGGTTCTGTCCCCAGTCGGGGTGCGCGAGGGAAGCAACCGATGGGTGTTTCTCTCTCCCTTCTTCTGTCTCTAAAGATCAGTAACAACATATTCTAGAGTGAGGATTAAAAAGAAAAACTGCCAAAGCAAGCACACACCTCTATTAATTCCAGGTCCTTTAAACTCTGAGGAAGGGGAATAGTCTGACCAAAGAAGTTCATGGACAGGTGCCTTTTTTTCTTGACTGGTGTCACCTGGAGACACGAGCCATCCTGGCTTCAGGCCTTGCCCCCTAACTGGCTTGGTCTCAGAGAAGAAAAGCCCAGTGGTGGTCCAGACACTCTCTCCCCTCTTGCTCCTCGCGGGGAATCTATTAACGGAGGGTCAGGGTCCCCTGCCCCACCCGCTTTACCTTCCAAGACAGTATATTACATAAGGAACAGATGCACCGATACCTTCACAGTCGCCGAAGCCACTTTTATCAATCAGCATTCAAAACTGAAAGCTATACTGTGGGACAACCGCTGCCTGGGATTCAAGTAATGCCCAGACTACTTCTGAAGCCCTAATATTTAGACTTGTAATTTTTCCCATCTTGCTGATATCTGATCCCTTTAAGAACAGGCAGAGTTAATTTTATAGGCTCTGAAGTTTTTGAACATATATTATCCCATTTAATTCTGCTCAAAGCCCAGCGAAAGGCTGGGACTCTCGGCGGAAGGTCAGATGGGTTGTTACCAGCCCCCGTGTTGCACAGCTACTCATGAGTCCAGCCGAGGCTGGGAAAGACGTGGGCGTCTGAGAGCAAGGGTCCGGCCAAAGGGAGCCGGAGAGGAAACAGAGTCGGGGTGAGAGGAGGTCAGGGCTGCTGGTAACGGGACAGTATCTGATAACACTTGAGCTAGGAGGGAACTGAAGACCAAGTTTCCAAGCTTTGCAACTGTGCCCAAGGATATCACTGCTTAGTATTTGAAAAGAGACATCACGGTTCATTAGTACGGATTCTTTCTGATTTCCAGAGCAAAGAGGTGCAGTCTTTAGAGCAGCTCTTAGGTGTCTTGGGGGAGGGCACCCCGCAGGCCCAGTGCCCAAAAGGCTGGGGAGGGCTCCACGGTCACCACTCAGGCCCTGGTGGCCGCATCCAATGGCAAAGCCCTCTGACCTTGACTTAGAACAAAGCTTAAGAGTGAAACCTCAGGCGGTTGGGAAGAGATGGGATTCCCTTCACGTTGGTGGAAAGCAATCTCTATTTTGTCTTAAAAATGACTCCAGGGGGCAACCCCAGCCAGGCTGTGCTGCAGCCAGAGCCAGAGAAAGTGGCATTTCAAGTTGACATTCCTTCAGCGAAACACTGGGTCAAACAGCTGCGAGGGGCCGCCACTCGGCTGGGAGCACCTGCAAGTCCGGGTCGCCTTTCTCTGTCACCCCGTGGCGGAGGCACCGCCCGCTTCATTTGCAGGGTGCCCGGGGAGCTTGACCTTACACTTCCCTGACGTGTTCAGGAGCGTGGGAAGAATTCACCATGAGTGGATTATGCTTCCGCTGCTGTTCTCCTAGTGTGACAGGAGGGCCCAGGGGGTTCCTGACACCCTTTCAGGGGCTCTGTGAGGTCAAAACTATTTCGGATAACCCTGAGGTGCTCTCTGCCTTTTCATTTGGAGGCGACATGCCATGTGATGTCACAACCGGCAGAACACAGAGCAGGTCTGAGAGTTGGCATCCTCTACGGAGCCAAACATGAAGGAGATTTCCAAAAGTGGCAAGCAATACCCACCTTTCTCACTCATTTTTTTTTTGCTGTAGAAAACACAGTTATTTTTACAAAGACATGTAATGGGCTTATTATTGCTATTTTCAAATGAATCAATACGTTTCTTGGCTGCAACTTCTAATATGGTAAATACTGATCAATAGAACCCATGCGAGCAAAAACTCTTGGGAGCCCGCAATGATTTTAAGAGCGTAAAGGGGTCCTGAGGCCCAATAGTTTGAGAACTGCTGACTTAAAGTAATTCTTACTTAGGAGCAAAGGTTGGGGGTTTTTGGCTGCCATCTGTTATCTGTCAGAGCCGAATATTTGTCAGACCCAACTCTGAGTTGTTGGATGGTCAATGGGAGAGTGGCTGCACCTGCTCACTGCTGACAACTTTTAGAAATCATCAATTTTTTCATAAAGCTGAACCCCCACCCCCTGTGCCCCCCGCCGGGAAAAGTGAAGGTGGGCATGGCCAGGTGCCCTCAGGGCTCAGGCCAAGATGGCAGGGACCCGTCCAAGTGCCCTCTGGGGAAGCGAGTCCCAAGTGAGGTTTGCCAGGGGTGGTCCTTCTCTCCTTGAGATGCCCTCGTCCCCTGAGGAATCTTCTTTTCCTCTTTTTCTCCCAGCCCTGCAGTTTCTCGCCATTTCCCCTAACGCCAGGCTCCCTGGCATCTCTCCTGCGGTCAGTTAACTTCAGCCAAGGGGTTTGCTGACACCTGGCCAAAGCATCTGTCCCTATCCTCATGTTTGGAAGGAGAAACTGAGTTACTTGGCAATGCCAGGGCCGGGTGGAGCAGACAAGTGAGGTGCCCAGGGGGTAGCATTTCCAGGGCATTCATCCTCAGGTGCCCACCTGCAGGTGCCCAGCCCAGCAGTGGCGCCTCCTAACTCTACAGCCAGGCACCTCACTCACCTTGAGCGGCCTGGCAAATGCTGCCTACAACAGATCCTGAGCCGAGGGAAGGCCACCGCAGGGCTCCACCCACCTCGGTCAGTCTGGAGCAATTGTAGGGGACTTTTCCATAACCACCCAGTAGGAAGAACAGCCTGGGCTGCTGAGCTCTGCAGGGTTTACAAGGGGAGAGACCTCAGGCTGGCCCTTCCCCTCCTCAGCAGGTGGGCGCTGAGGGCCCGAGGGAAATAGAAGCCCTGACAAGCCCTGTGCAGACTTTAAATTCCCCTATGAAAGCGGAGAGGTTGCTATCATTGACTCCCGCCCATTAGAGGGATCCATACATTAGGTTGTTTCTCAAGCTTTTTTGACCATGACAGAAATGCATTTTACATTGCAACCCGGATCTCAAGTACATATGCAGACAAATAACTGAAACCAAAGTTTCAAAAGAAAATCCTTACCTTGACTGCATGTGACACAGTCTACTCTATTTAAAAGAAACAAAACATTGCTCACTAAACCAATGCCACCGTGACCCACTAACTGGTCCCGGCCTGCTTTTAGGAAACAGAGATAAAGGATTGGAAGGACCCTCCAGAACCTAAGATTCTATGCTTCCGCCTTTCAAAGAACAGCTTTCTTGGCAGGAAACGTCACAGGGAAGATCTGCCTGCTGTCCGCACCCGAGACGGACATAGGGGCTCGAGCACGACTCGCGACAGCCCAGAGGGACAGCTCGAGCGTCCGGCCTCAGAGGCCCCAGACTGGGGCAGACCCGGCGCCCGTGCTCCCTCCTCGGGACTGTTCTTAATCACAGCACGGTGACGACTGTCGCCCTGCTTACCTGCGCATATGCCCACCAACAGCCTGGACAAGATGATCATCTCGAATGACCGGGCAGCTTCGCTGCTTCCCATCAGGATCGCTGGCACAATTGAAAAGACGTTGTTCAGCAGCAAGGTCCCTTTCCTGCACAGGACAAAATGTCAACCAGTTTGGGCCTGGCTGCCCAGCTCGGTCAGTCGGAATGTTGTCCCGATGCAGGAAGGTGGCGGGTTTGATCCCCGGTCAGGGCACATACAAGAAGCAACCCGTGATGCATACGTAAGTGGGCCAGCAAATCGGTGCTTCTCTCTCCCCTCCCGTCTCTGTCTTTCCCTTCCCCTCTCTCTCGAAAATCAATAAATTTAAAAAACCACAGAAAACAAACAGTGTGGTCTAAGGAGTCGCTCATTCGTTTAAGAATGTTCACCGGGTGTGAACTTGCTGACAGCAGTAAGCAGTTTGCAGGACTACGGTGCAAGGTTTTTGCAATCATAAACTAACATGATTCTGGTGTAATCTTTTTTTTTTTTTTAATATATCTTTATTGATTTCAGAGAGAGGAAAGGAGAGGGAGAGACAGACAGAAACATCAATGATGAGAGAGTCGTTGATCNCCATTAGAAGGATCCATACATTAGGTTTCTCAAGCTTTTTTGACCATGACAGAAATGCATTTTACATTGCAACCCGGATCTCAAGTACATATGCAGACAAATAACTGAAACCAAAGTTTCAAAAGAAAATCCTTACCTTGACTGCATGTGACACAGTCTACTCTATTTAAAAGAAACAAAACATTGCTCACTAAACCAATGCCACCGTGACCCACTAACTGGTCCCGGCCTGCTTTTAGGAAACAGAGATAAAGGATTGGAAGGACCCTCCAGAACCTAAGATTCTATGCTTCCGCCTTTCAAAGAACAGCTTTCTTGGCAGGAAACGTCACAGGGAAGATCTGCCTGCTGTCCGCACCCGAGACGGACATAGGGGCTCGAGCACGACTCGCGACAGCCCAGAGGGACAGCTCGAGCGTCCGGCCTCAGAGGCCCCAGACTGGGGCAGACCCGGCGCCCGTGCTCCCTCCTCGGGACTGTTCTTAATCACAGCACGGTGACGACTGTCGCCCTGCTTACCTGCGCATATGCCCACCAACAGCCTGGACAAGATGATCATCTCGAATGACCGGGCAGCTTCGCTGCTTCCCATCAGGATCGCTGGCACAATTGAAAAGACGTTGTTCAGCAGCAAGGTCCCTTTCCTGCACAGGACAAAATGTCAACCAGTTTGGGCCTGGCTGCCCAGCTCGGTCAGTCGGAATGTTGTCCCGATGCAGGAAGGTGGCGGGTTTGATCCCCGGTCAGGGCACATACAAGAAGCAACCCGTGATGCATACGTAAGTGGGCCAGCAAATCGGTGCTTCTCTCTCCCCTCCCGTCTCTGTCTTTCCCTTCCCCTCTCTCTCGAAAATCAATAAATTTAAAAAACCACAGAAAACAAACAGTGTGGTCTAAGGAGTCGCTCATTCGTTTAAGAATGTTCACCGGGTGTGAACTTGCTGACAGCAGTAAGCAGTTTGCAGGACTACGGTGCAAGGTTTTTGCAATCATAAACTAACATGATTCTGGTGTAATCTTTTTTTTTTTTTTAATATATCTTTATTGATTTCAGAGAGAGGAAAGGAGAGGGAGAGACAGACAGAAACATCAATGATGAGAGAGTCGTTGATCGAGCCCGCAACCCGGGCATGTGCCCTGACTGGGAATCGAACCCCGATTGCCTGGATCCCAGGTCGACGCTCAACCGCTGAGCCACGCCCGGCCGGGCTCTGGTGTAATCTTAAAACCCAAACTCAGTAAGAACATCAGGAGAAAAGCATGGGCCAACCTCACATAGATGCAAAAGTCCTCGATGAAATAGTAGCAGACTGAATTCTCCAGCACATGTAAAACTCTTTCCATGTTAAGAACACATTATTTAAGGTTATACTGGGGAAAAGATAAGATTAGCAATTGAAACTGCAAAAGAAGTCAGTAAAACTTGATATCTATTATGGTTTTAAAAAAACAAGCTTAACAAACTATAGAGAGAACTTATAAAGGTGATATCTCGTAAAAAACCTACGACAAACTACAAAACAATGCCAAACAGAATATTTTTTCAGGGATTTTCATAAATGGATTTAAAAATTAACACAGAAGAGTAAAGGGACATGACTAACTAAGATAAATTTAAGAACAATGGACTTTTTACATGGAAAAAAATTGGCTTTTTTTTTTTGCCCTGGCTAGTTTGGCTCAGCGGTTAGTGGGTCGGCCTGCAGACCGAAGGGTCCTGGGTTCGATTCCCCATCAAGGGCACCTCCGTTGCAGGCTCGATCCCTGGCCCTGGTCGGGGCCCGGGTGTGAGGCAACCAATCAATGTTTCTCTTTTACATTTTCTCTCTCACTCTCCCTTCCTCTCTCTATAAAATCAATAAACATATCCTCAGGTGAAGATAAAATAAATAAAAATAAAGCAACAGGCTGAGAAGACATCTGTCTGCTATAACAGAGGACAGTGTGAAGGTGACTCGCACATGCTCAGAAATGAAATTTCCCGCCAGCTGTGTAATCCTGGGTTATTACAGCATCTCTCTGTGCCTCATTTCCCCATCTTTGAAAAGGGGGTGGGCTTTTGTAAGGATTAGAGGAATTAAAAACCCTACAAGCACTCAGATGGCACATAGGAAGCCATCAAAAAAGGTTAGTTGAACACGCCACCGTCTGCTCCCTTTGTGGACTGAACCACAAGTCCCTCACTCAAAGAGAAGGGTCCTGCAGACCCGACTGATGTCCTGCTCCCAGGGGGCCCACAGGGAAAACTGTGAGTTCAATACCAACCTCCCAGGAAGGCCTTAGGATCTTAGATCCCAAACCAGAGGCTATGTGTTCCTATTCTCAGGCTTTTTTTGAAAATACCAGAGATGGAACCAAAGTCTGGGTTCTGGCCTTGCTTTGACCCCTGAGCGAACTGGATCTGCGGCCAAGAACAGGAAGGTGATCCCACCCAGCCTCCCTGGGCTCACCCGGGGAGGGAGAGGTTGCCGGGAGGGCTCTCAAATGCTGTTTACAGCAAGGCTGGTCTCTCGTGCCCGTGCAGCTTACCCGGGGCAGTGGGATGACTTCAGGGCCTTTTCTGGAATCAAATACAGACTCTGCAACGCTTCTAGAATTAGGGGCAAAGATATAAGCTCTGCCCTTGACGTTCACGACACTCACAGTGAGTCACCCTGGGACCACACGGTTTCCCAGGGAAGTAAGGGCCTGATAGTCCCAGCCATTTCAGAATTTCACAGGAATTTAATTTGGGTTAAGTTTTGCATATTACTTGGTCTCAAGGTGAACGAACAAATAAGTGGGGGGTAGGGGGAGGTAGAAGAGGGTGTCGGGGGATAAATGGCGTTGGAAGGAGACTTGATTTGGGGTGGTGAACACACAATACAATATACAGATGATGGGCTATAGAATTGTACACCTGAAATCTATATAATTTTATTTACCAATGTCACCCTAGTAAGTTCAATAAAAAAGAAAAAAAAAGAAAGAAGTTAGTTTGTGTTTGTTTAGGAGGCAGGGTTCAAGAACACTGTGCTATGGTCTATGTTGGGACTGACCTTTTGGCCATATCATCTGGTGTTCGACTCTCCCAAAGGCCAAAAAAGAAGACAGAACTTGGTTTTGATTTTGGTATAAAACAAAACAAAAAACTCCCAGGTAAGAGAGCAGAGACAGTGGGAGTGAGGCCTGATCTTGAAGTACTTTTTCTGTGTCCACCCCACAGCCTGAGACCTGCCACCTCCGCTTCTAGCCCAAAAACCTTGCCTAGGTCCCCAAACACTTGGCCAATGTCTGGTCTTCAGACCACATTAGAAAACGGAAATCATCTGGGTGGTATTGCCTGGTCTCACAGTAAGGATTCCAGCTGTAGGCCTGGATTTAGGCCTCTGATGGGGTCTGAGAGTTTTGGGGAGTTGGAAGGTCACCTTCCCTTACCTTCCAAGTTGATTCACCAGGAAGCCGACCATGAGGGAGCCGATGAAGCCTCCGAAGGGGAACATGGACACAGAAAGAGACCACAGAAGGGTCAAGGAGAAGTCACTCAGGTAGTCACTGGTTCTATCATAGTGGGTCTCGTTATAAAATTCTTTCATGAGCTGGAGAAAAAGCAAAACAGCACCCGAAGAACGTGACCTGGCTTTGCAGAAAGAGCGCCGTTAGGCTGTCGGGCCAACAAAGGGACAGCCTGGGCACACAGGCATCGACGTTGGTAAGTGGAGGAAAGGAAGTCAGGACAGAGTTGTATTAACAGCAGTTAGCGGGGGCACCCTGGGGAGGACCCTAAGGCCTCTGGTGGGCAAACTGCCCGGATGTTTCCGACCCCAGAAAGGACCGGCTCCAGTCTTCCAGTCTGTTGGGTGATCCCTGTGCTCCGGGGTCCTCCATAGATCGCCAGGCTGCGGGAGTCAGAGGCCAGCCTACCATGTGTCCAGCCAGGCTGGGACCTGGTTCATCCCCAGGGCCCTGTGCCTGCCAGTCCCCTGGGGCCTGTGCTGTGTCCCTTTGCTCGATGACCCATTGTGTGGCCCTTCACGCATGTGCAGTTCCACCCTGGTGGCCACCCACTGGGGCCCAGGCTGCTCCAAACCCACCACCTCCCTGTTTCCTGGGGGCCGAGGCTCACTCGCCACAGTGACCTACCTGGGCAGGGGAGTTGATAGCGGCCACATTGTACCCGTACTGGAAGGAGGACCCGAAGGCAGCTATCAGCGTGGCCAGGGCAAGCAGGGGCGTCAGCCTCTGTGGGGGGGCAGGGGGTGGTGTCACAGCTCAGGTCAGGAGACAGAGGGGTCCCCTACTTACTTCAACGTCTTATAGGAAGACAGACGGACTGGAATCTGAAGATCCGAAGTCTTTCATCGGCTCCCTATCTTGAAACCTGCCCTCTACCCAACCGGGGGTTAGGACAGGCTTTCTCAACCACAGCGCTTAGGGCCCGATAAGTCTTTGTTTTGGGGGGGCTGTCCTGTGTGCATGGTAGGAGTACCCCTCCCCCACCTGTGACAACCCAAAGGTCTCCAGACATTGCTAAATGTCCCTGGGGCTGGGCAGGGAGTTGCCCCTGGTTGAGAACCACTGGGTCAGAGGGACACTGAGGGACCTACTCGAACACCCCATCTAATGTCTGAATCGCTTCAGTGACATTCCTGCTACGTGGCTGCATTTGCCCCACTGCCCTAGAGATCAAAGGGGGGAAATGCAAACCATTTTAATTCTTTAGGGCCACCGAGTAATTCCTTTAGCCCCTGCACTTTCGCTGTGACAGGCAGAAGGCACAGAGAGCAACTGTTTAAGTGCAGACTTCTGGGGACCCTTAAACACCCTCTGAGAGTATCCCCCTGTGACACGAGGAAGCTGAGCATTCATTCAGACAATCCTCCGTGACGAGCAGGGGGAAAACAAGAGAGGAATCGACAGATCTCACTTTGAGTTTGCCCACTGCCATCTCTGAGCTTCATTTCCACGGTATTCAGTTCCCTCGTCTTTGAAATGAGGGTGCCGCCGCCCAGAGTTACTGCGAGGACGTTATAAAAGCACCGGCCGCAGGGAGGCTCTGCCGCTGGGCCGGGCCTGGCACCGCTGCGGGCACCCGGCCTCCAGCCCGCCTCGGGGGACACACGCCCCTCCGGCTGCCTGCGGGCAGTGTCCCGTCTNCGCGGGCACCCGGCCTCCAGCGCCGTCATTCACGCACAGCCCGCCTCGGGGGACACACGCCCCTCCGGCTGCCTGCGGGCAGTGTCCCGTCTAAGCTAAAGAGGACCTCTTGAGAGAAGGGAGGGGAGGACAGGCAGAGAGCAGGTCACTCCCGCCTTGGCACGATGCCCCGAGAAGACGGGGCGACAGGGGACTGCTGTGGGCAGGAGCAGGCCTGCAGGGAGCCTGCCAAGGGCGACGCCACGAGGGGAGCTTCCCCCCCTCTGCTTGGCTGCCCCCAAACCAAACCAATGAACCGGCGTTAATTCACCAGGAAGCTCCGGGCGAGGAAGACAGAGCCACAGACAAGGCAGCCCANCGCATTAATTCACCAGGAAGCTCCGGGCGAGGAAGACAGAGCCACAGACAAGGCAGCCCACGGAGCAGCGGGCTCTGGTTTCCAGTCCCCAGCTGTCACCATCCTCTGGGACCAGCGTGGGAAGAGGGTGACAAAAGTGAGGGGAGCAGGTGATGGCGCCCAGGAGGGAAGGCGGGTTCCAGGGCTGTGGCCACCCTGCCCTGTATTTCCCAAAGGCAGGGGGCACACTCACACCCACACCCATAACCCCGCACACCCCACCTGAGATGTAGGACACACAGGACACTCCTCGCTCAGTAGGATGGTCGGAATCAATGAGACAGATCGTGGCTGTCAAAGGTGTGGGGCAACCGGAAGCCTCTACCATTTCTGGTAGGAACGTAAAGTCACTTGGGAAAAGTGGTTGCCTAGGGTTAGGGGACAGGAGGAGGGGATGGGGGGCTAAAAGTGAGTACGGGTTTTTCCAGGGGTGATAAAATGTTCTAAAGTTGCTTATGGTGGTGGCTGCACAATTCTGTGAACAGAACTGTATACCTGAAACAGTGAATTTTATGTTACATTCTCAATAAAGGTGCCGTATAAAAAAGGCATGTAAAAGAAAGCCAGGGATTACGCTTTCTTTTTTCTTTCTTTCTTTGTCTTCTTTTACTTTTAGATTTGGGACAAACCGGGAACCTCATCCCTCATGCCCACAGTCAGCTGGCTCCCTGTTCATCATAATGCTGAGAACATCGAGGCTCTAGCGAAGGAGACATTTTCAGGGCTGGCTTCTGGCAGGGCGTGACTCGGGGCGCGGGGAAGGGAGCCCTGCCCGAGCCAGCTCCCTTAGGGGTCCATCTCCGCACCCCAGCCCACCAGCAGGGACGCAGGAGTCTCCAGGCAGAATGCACAGGTCCCTGGAAAAGCGAGTTTTATCAACACTTTAAGTCGCTTTATCACACTATGGGACTCAAAGTTTTACAAGCAGACACTGAGGTCCATGTGGAGGGGGGAGAGAGCTGGAGGTGCCTCGTCTCGTTGCTGGG